TCCTTCAGCACCCCATGCACCTGAGGAAGTGCATCTCTACCACCTTAAAAGTACTAGTGAGTCACTGTCTTGATATCCTTTCAACTGGCTGACAACATTCCTCAGCTCTTCTTTTTCCCCTATTCTCCGGTTTAGGGTTGGATAGTGCTCAGGAGATGATTTGGGGGCGGCCTTTTATTTTGTTTCACAAGAAACTCAGCCTAGCGAAGGCAAACTCTTCTGTCAGTCCCGGAGGAGAGGCTGTGAATGCTTTCTGGGTGCTATGTATGGCTGAGGAGTATTCAAAAGCAAGCCTAAGGATAGGGTTTGCTGATTAAGTCGTGACTGAAGCAACTGAAGACTGCAGGGGAGAACCGGACTGGGGTCACCCCAGGGTGGCCTGGCACAGCACAGCGCTTGGGAAGAGGCACGGTGTTGTACAAGAGAGTGTACTGCAAGGGTCAAGTGCTGCTATTTAATTCTCTTGCAACCAGTAGTTTAATTCACATGGCTCATCTTGTTTTCTCTTGTGCCTGTTGATCTGAGGAAAGCATCGACTAGATGAAAATGTAAGTCGGGAAGTAGGTCCTTATCACAGATTATCCAAGTGCTACATCAAAATTAGAATTCATTATTATTAGCTATTACATGTATTACGCTAAAACATTGCACAAAATGAGGTCCTCTTACTTGAGATGCGTATTTTACCTCTCTAGATAAAAGCACTAATCCCAAGAATGTATAAATTAACAAAACAAAGACAGAGGAAGGAAGGATGGATTGTTCTCGTCTATGAGACTAGAAAGATGGATTGTTCCTGCCTGTAGAAGAAAAAGGGTGGCTTGCTAACATCACCAAAGAAAGCATTTGAGGGGAAGGAGACACATGTGGATTGCACTGTCCCAATATACTGTCTTCCTTATCCATTGAGACAGGCCTTGCAAGCTTTCATATCAAGTAACAGCAGATCGTATATCATTTCACTGGAAACTAAGACACCCTTGTCGACAAGGATGTCCCTCCTGGCTTTCTTCATGGAAAGAGAAAGGAGTCATGGTCTGTTTGTCCGACTTCTACCGTGAAAAAAGCATACTGTCGCTGTGCCTCTGATAGACACCATCACCACATGGTGGGCAGGATTTTGCAGAGGAACAAGGTGAAGAATCTTAAGCATCCTGCCAGACAGATCTGAATTCAAGAAAACCGTGGCCACACTCCTCAGAACTGAGAATCTCAAGGTAGGCCTTCGAAGCTACATTTTAGCACTTTAACACTTCCACCTACAGACTTCCAGAAGAGCCGCTGCATTCTGTAGAGTCTGGTTTTGACACGCTGGAGGGAGGACTTGCCTGGAGGACTGACATTGCCTCACAGCCCTGGGCTGCAGACACCGAGACACCTCACAGAAGTGTCTAAATTAACCTGGCTGTAATTCAGAAACAAACACACGCCTCTCTGCTCAAAGCTTCCACGGACCCAGGCCCTCTATAAAAGCAGTCATTTACGCTTGCCCTCTTGATTCCTCTGATCTTCTAATGAAAGGCTGGGGCACTCACACGCAGGAATTACTGCTGTGCTCCAGACAGCTCAGCAGAAGAGAAGGGGGCTGTTACTGCCTTACACAGATCCCTGATGCCCGCCATCGCTGCAGTGGCCTCAGATACGGTTGTCACATTTTATGTCTGGTGACATAGCATACTTGTTCTGGCTGGGATGGAGTTAATTTTCTCCACAGCAGCTGGCATGGGCCTGTGTTTTGGATCTGTGACCAAAACAGTGCTGATAACACACTGATGTTCTGCTGTTCCTGAGCAGTGCTTGCACAGCGTCAAGGCCACCTCTGCTTCTCACGCTGTCCGTGCACCCAGCAGGCAGGGGGTGCTCAAGAAGCTGGGAGGGACACAGTGAGGACAGCTGACCCCAACTGATTCTCCCCCCTGTCCTGCTGGGCAGGAGGGGGTGAGCAGCTGTGTGGAGCTCAGCTGCCTACTTGGGTTAACCCACAACGCATAAGACTTTCTCCAGCATCTAATCTGGGAGAAAGGCTTTCTTCAGCTAATACCAATTTTTCATTTTGTAAAAGCTATATACATTTGGTGGTATAGCTGGATAGCAGTGATAGTGGGATAGCAGCGATAGAATATAATATGCATATCTTTCTCCACTTGATGGAACCTATACGCAAATGCAGCTGGGGGCAATTCCCATACATCTGTCCTTCACAGTGATGCAGACACAGATGTGCAGATACATTAACACAGAAAATGCTAGTGCTAGAAAAATGTGCAGATACATTAGCACAGACAATGCTAGACACATTAACATGGAAAATAAGGATGGTGTTTTCTTAGCTTTCCAGCTACCGACTGCATGCTAGTTGCCAAGTGATAGGAAATTGTCTTGTTTCACAGCCACATAGCTACCAGGCTAAAAGTCTGTCATGTAGAAATAATGTCTGTCCTTGCTATATGCCATACTGCATACTCATACTTTATCATAATATTAATTATGGTGAGCTGCAAGGTAAAAATATGTATCCTCCTCTCATCACCGGGCAGTTAAAGTTGGATTCATCCATCTGAAAGCCAGTGTCACCACTGTAGACCTCTACACCTGAACTGGATCCCACAGGCTCAGTTTATAGTCAAGGGAGAGAAGCTGGTGTTTCTAGAGCACAGTTTGTCTCAGCCCAAAGCTGGCATCTCCCTTTGGTCCACTGACCCATGCTCTCAAATTTCTTCTTCTCGCTGCTGATTATGAAGGCATCCTAGATGTCCCTGTAATAGACGGATGGATAACACCTTCGTTACACGATGACTTATGTCAGAACTGGCCTTAGGCAAAAGTAGTCCTAGCAACTCTTCAAGGATGCTGCAATTCTGTTTAAGTCAACCTCTCCCAAGCACGCTACTATGGTACAGCTGAGCTGTCATAACTGCCCTCAGGCAGGATTTACCCCCAACCCAGCAGATGTACTTATAGCAATCTCAGATACCTTCAACTCACTCTAGGGTGAGTGCAGATGAGCTCCAGAATGGTGACATGCAGTAATGAGGTCCTGTGGCTCCAGCACTTCCACCACCAGGTACCTGCAACCCACTGCCGTGGGCACTACCAGCTATGGACACCGGTGGTTTGTTGGGGAGGTAGTGAGTAGGGAATTACGGAGATTTCCAGGAATGGGTTTGGGGTCCTTCTTCTGGGAAGCGAGTCATATTACAAGAAAATGAAGTCAGGCACACATCTGAGGTGTTTGCTAGGCAGGTGCAGATAGTGCAGTGAAGACAGGGACTTGGACTGCTTTAGGGCTTAGATTTTGGCAGGAGAATAGGAAAATTATTTTCTAAAGAATAGTTTACAACCTCAGCTTCCATTTCAGGAGCTCTGCGTTGTCTAAGGCCAGCTTTGTGTCCTACACCACCCTGCTTGCCACAGCTACACTTGTTAGGAGATCTGAACTCAGAAACAGCCCTTAATTGTAGGTCTAGTTCTTCCTTGTGTAAACCTTCAACTGAAACACGGGGAGAAATTAAACACTACCAAGTCCTACATTTAAGAGAAAGAAATCTACCAAAAGATTATACACATAGCAAAGATTCTTCTCTATGCACTAAATCAGACATTTGAGCGAAAGCTTTATTCTCAGGCAGTGTTGAACACCATTAGTACCACTACTACATTTGGACAGTGTAGAAAGTTCACCAATATTTGCAGTCACTTCTTCATGTGAGTTGATATTATTGCATAATGGGAATGTACTGGGTTAAACGTGCTAGCTACATCTACCTGCACTGAAGAAAGACGGTCCAGAGACTTCCTCTTCGGAAGGAGGTAGATGAGGACTGGATATGACACTGCACTCACTTTTTACGTGACTATCCAGAGGCAGGCATCTTTATGGAACTGCAGCAGATTTTTAGCAGTTTTGTCTTGTTATACTTACTGTTTGTCTAAAATTAATGTATTGATAGATTTGGTAGATTCTCCCTTAGAAATGATCACTCCTGCTATGGTCCCTGTGTGCTGCTCACGGCATGCAGAGACTGACACAACGCCTGTGCAGCTGCTGGCCATCTCTCCCGACAGCCAAGACACGGGACCCATCCCAGGGCGGACTGTAACCTAGGGATCTGAGCACTGCCTTGCTCCGACGCAGGCTGAAGTTACAACCACCATTTGCCACTGAGCAATTCAGAAATCGGACTTTTCTTGTCATTTTTAACCTTCTCTTTTGTAGGCTGCAAGTTGTGTGCATTGCCATCCTCAGAGGAGCTGCATGCAGCCTCTCCTACATACGTACCAGGGACCGTTAGCATCACACCTGTTCATTCAAGTTGCTTTGCCATAGTTGCATCTTACAGTGCATGAAGAGTTGATCACAAAAGGAAAGATAGTCGAAGATACTATATATAGAATAAATATTTTGGGCCGTTTTTATTTTGCTTATAGGTATCAATGGCTGCTTTCAACTAAAACGCAAGGGGAAAAACCAGAAGTGATACTGTCGTTTACTGTGAACCTGCCCCCCCCCAAATCTTTGAACAGTGTGTACTGCTCTTCCCTAGACAGAATCACAGGATCACAGCATACTTCTGGTTGGAAGGGGTCTTGGGACGACTCTGGACCAACCTTCTGCTCAAAGGACAATCAGCTACGAGATCAGCCCAGGTTGCTCAAGGCTTTATCCTGTCTGGAAACATCCCAGCTTTGCACATGAAATACAAACCCCTCCTTGCTATCCTGCCTTTTCTTCACCAAGTCTCGTTACAGGTGGAACCAATATGACACCATATCTTGAACATTTTATAGCTGTATTTCTCTCGATTCAAAAACCCATGTGTGCAACCACCTGCTGTGAATGATTCCCCACTGTCTCACAGTGCAGTAGATCCAAAGATGATTTAAATGCTCTTGAAATTAGGCAGGTGCTTAGAAATCTTGCTGCACTGGGGTCCAAATCATTCTGAAGCGGGGTGGGAAATCAAAGCAAGAGAGCCACCGAAACCAAACAGGCTGCAGGCATGCGGAAGACCGCTTTGTTCGGTACCTGCGTTGCTTGGAAGATAACGGTGAAGCGTCTCTCGGTTCTCCACAGGGCTCCCATCTGGCTGTTTACCGGCGAGATCCGAAAGGCTGCCTGGACGCCACGCCATTTCTGGTATTTCAGCTGGGTTGGTTCTGAGATCAAAAAAGCATTTGAGATCAATGCATTTTGATCATCTCGTTTGGAGACATTCTGTCCAAAGACGTTGCCTGGAGGACCTGCTAGCTCATCAGTAAAAGACAAGAAGCCCAGTGTGTTATAACCAGCTTCACTGGACTGGGTCGGGAATTGGTTCGCGCTGCAGAGATGCAGCCAGCAGACAGGTGATTTCAGGACAGTTTTAGGAGCCTACCGACATTTATAGAAATGAGTGTCTGA